AGGGTTTTAAAGACCAGGAGGCTGTTGATTGTGCCTGCAAACAGTGTTGAACTGTGGGTTGTGCAAGCTCAAAACCAGCAGACACCCCCTGCTTTGTCTTTTGCTCTTGATGGCATCAATTCAGGCTTTTACAGAGCTGAACAGGGAGTGAAACTCAGCCCAAAGTGAAGTCACTGACTGGTGACCAAAGCGCCTGCAGGGGCTTGGATTTCATCCACTAGTAATTACCCCGTGGCAATTAAGAAACTTGTCCTGGAGAGAAAGCTCTGAAGAAAAAAAAAAAAAGAGTTTCTTCCCCAGAGTCTCCTCTTTGCCAAGAAGATCTCAGCTCTCCCAAGTTCAGACTGGCCCCTCTGAGACTTCCCAGAAGAGGAACCACCTCCCCACAGGAGAGATCCGGAATCCCACCGTTGGCAAGAGGGTTTTAAAGACCAGGAGGCTGTTGATTGTGCCTGCAAACAGTGTTGAACTGTGGGTTGTGCAAGCTCAAAACCAGCAGACACCCCCTGCTTTGTCTTTTGCTCTTGATGGCATCAATTCAGGCTTTTACAGAGCTGAACAGGGAGTGAAACTCAGCCCAAAGTGAAGTCACTGACTGGTGACCAAAGCGCCTGCAGGGGCTTGGATTTCATCCACTAGTAATTACCCCGTGGCAATTAAGAAACTTGTCCTGGAGAGAAAGCTCTGAAGAAAAAAAAAGAGTTTCTTCCCCAGAGTCTCCTCTTTGCCAAGAAGATCTCAGCTCTCCCAAGTTCAGACTGGCCCCTCTGAGACTTCCCAGAAGAGGAACCACCTCCCCACAGGAGAGATCCTACCACCCTAGTGAAGGGGAAGGACTGAGTGTCTGTGCTGCAAGAGGAGAAAATGTTTCTGTGAATAACCCAGCAACTTGGGCTGGAAGTCAAACAGATGCTGTGTCTGATGGGACCTCCAGGCTGAAGGGACAACCCTTGTGGCCTCATGGGCTCTGTGATGACACACTTTGTGTAGGAGGAACTGGAATCAGTGAGGAACCAAAGGGCAATCTCAAACAGAGCATGAATGTGACATAAAGCTCCAGAGAGCCTTGATCTGGCACTGAGAGAGACCCTGATGGTGCTCAGGGGTTATGCAAGTGATGTTAAAAATGCTGCCACCTTGGGCATCAGGAGAGGTCCTGTCCTGTGCATGTCTGGGAGCTGTAAATCCCAGGCCTGTTACGAATCAGCCCCGCACAGGGTCGTGCTGCAGAGAGGAGTGCAGAGAAATGCATTCATTGAAAAACTTGGGCTCCAGCACAGCTCCTGCCCATCAGCACCCCCTCCTTGTACCTGCTGGGCTCTGCTCAAGGTGCACAAATATGTCAGTGTTTCCAGGGACCCTGGATGTCCGATCTGAGATGCTCTGTGCTTCAGTGCAAGTGGTTGGTTGTTTCCAAGAAAAGCCAAATTAGAACAATGACAACTTGCAGATGTTCACATGTACCTCTATAAAGCAGTTAAGAAAATCAGTTGCCTCAAACTGGATCTCGTTCTCATTCCTGAAGCTTTTGCAGTCCCCAAAAATTGGCACAAAGAAGGTTTAGTCTGATTCTGAAGAAGCCAAAGGAGGTGCCTGTTACAGGCAGACAAGCAGCTGCAGGGCTGAGCTTGGCCAAGACGTGCCTGTCCCACCTCAGTGGTGGGATCCAGCATGAGAAGCTGAGGGTTCCTTCTCCAGCAGCAAGGAATTGCCTCCAGATCAGCCCTCCTCTCAAGGCAGGAACGGGGCAGCTTCTCCCAAGCAAAGCTCTAGTGACAGTCACCCTGAACACTGAAAACTGACGTGCAAAACTCAGAAGTTTCCAAGCACCTTCAAATTTTCCTCAAGGAATATTCAACACGAGGGGTGAAATAGCCCAGACTGAGTTCATCTTGCACAACTGGCTGAGTTCAAACATGCAGGATGTTTTACACTGGCAGCCTCACCCTGAGCAGCAAAGGGATCAATCACTTTGTGAGCTGTGCCTTTTTAATGATCTCCTCAAAACACGGAATCCCAGAGCTACAACCACAATTGGTTTACACAGCTCATAAATCAATGACCTGCCACCACTGATGACCACAGCAGGAGGGCAGTTTGCCCCAAGGAACAACCTCCAGCAGTTACTGGCATTTTACCAAAATCAAAACCAAACATCTGAGACTACAAAGAAGGTGGACTGGGGATTTGACCTGTCACTTCCTACTTCACAGGTAAATAAGTAACTTTTTAAACCCACTTTGGGAACTAACATTTTCCTATTGGCATCTACATTCACTGAGTTCTCAGAATTCTGTTCCCATCAATGCCCTCCAGCCACAGCTGTCAGAATTCCCAGCCCATCCACACATCTGGCCAGCCTGGGAATGCAGCAGCTTGGCCACGCTGATGGGAGAAAAGGAAAAACCCAGCACTGCCTTCAGCTGAGCAGAGAGGGGAAAAGAAGAGCTCTGAGCTATTTGTCATAACGAGGAGGAAGACAGATGTCCAGCTCTCAGGTAGAAGAAAAGCAAAGGGAGGAAGTCATTGCAAAAAGGACAGGAAAGAACAAATGGCAAAGAGCAGCTCTTAGCAATAGTGCTGATGGGCAACAGAACCAGCAACAAACAATTGGTATTTAGAGAGGATGACATAATAGAGGCCAAAATTATTTTAGAACTGCTGAGCTGATCATATTGTTCCTGTGTTTTCCTTTGGGTCACTAACTAGATTAATCTTCAACCAGCCTGAAACTGTGGCTGGGAATAACTCCTCAGCACACTGCAGGGCTCCCAGAGCTGCTTCCCACACCAGGTTTGCACCTTCCCTGGATGGATGTCCAGGGCCTGCAGCCTTCCTGT